TAGTCCTTGACTTACAACCACTATTGAGCCTGGAACTTTGGTCATACAGTTTTGAAGTTGATCACATGACTGGACTTGATTTTACAACCATTTTTACAATGGTTGTTAAGCGAGTTGCTGTGGTCATTAAGCACATCATGTGGTTGTAAATCCAAATCCAGCTTAATGGTGGTGCAGTGGTTAGATTGCAGTATTTCAGGCTAACTCTGCCCACTGCCAGGAGTTTGATCCTAACCAGCTCAAGCTTGACTTAGCTTTCCATCCTTCCAAGGTTGGTAAAATGAGGACCCAGATTGTTGGGGATAATATGCTGACTCTGTAAACCGCTTAGAGAGGGCTATAAAGCACTATGAAGCAGTCTATAAGTCTAAGTCCTATTGGTATTATCTAATGGGCATATTTTAACATTTTTTGATGGAAAATAGCAAAAAGATTGCAAGATACAATTACATGACCATGGGAGGTTGCAAATGGTTGCAAATAAGAGCTGGTTGCCAAATGTCTGAGATACGATAATGTGACTGTAGGGATGGTACAATGACCGCAACTTCAAGGATTGTCATAACTTTTTTCAGGTACATTGGAACTTTGAACAGTTGTTCAGCAACTGGTCAAGGGCAACCTGTAACATTTTCTCTGTCTCTTTCTTTCAAATTTATATCTGAATTTTTGTAGATATGTAACCTTGACTATCTTCCATGAAGATGTCTAATCTACAGTATTTTTAATACTCTCTCTCTCCCTCTCCCTCTCCCTCTCAACCAGGTATCTTGACTTAATGTAAATCATTAGAAGGGGCAAAGTGTGGATCACTGGATCATGCTGAAATAACATACTTAACCCTCACCCTTCCTATTGTATACGCATGTTATAAGATTTCTTTCATAAATCAAATAATTGCTTTATGAAGGAACAATTCAGATTTTAAAAAATAGAATACCAAAGAAAAGTTAATCTCCTGGTCATACAGTTTCTTAGTCTGGCATCTTAAATAAGCTATTTAAAGATACTACTATCTTAAACATGCTATTTAAAGCTACTGCTAACAGTTTCTACCAATGATAGCTGTTGACTGAATAAAGTTTTCCTGACTATTGCCCCTATAATAGCATGCAATCCAGAGAAATCAATTACAGGCTAATTACTTCCCTGTTTTAATTAGTATGCCTGCCGAAGGGCAGAAAGGACACCCCCATACTGATCAGTGAGTTTGACAACTGAAATTGGTTTATCAAGGCCAGTAAAAGTGCACACTGGTCATGCATCAAAGATGCTACAAATTAATTTAATAGGAGAGCACATGCTGCTTTATTTGTCCATCCTTAGTGTAATAAGTATAATGTGTTACCTCTGAATGAGCAAAATGAAAGAAGGTTCCTAATTATATGGATGTGGAACTTATAGTGCCATATTATTTGTGTCTACTCAGAAGTAAGTTATATTGAGTTCAATAGAATGTATTTCTAATCAGTTGTGCTTAGAATTTAATTCAAAATTAATTGTAGTGAATGTACCTTTCTTCTGTGCCATGTGTTTAGTAATATCATTCATAAGAGAGAGAGAGAGAGAGAGAGAGAGAGAGAGAGAGAGAGAGAGAGAGAGAGAGAGAGAGAGAGAGCGAGCAGCAGAATTAGGGATTATGGAATGAAATTACCTCAAAAGACAAGGATTTAACAAGTAGTCAAGATTTTAACTAGTTTCAAAATTAGTGCGTTTATGGGAGGTCCTAGGTAAGGGTTAGGGTTAGGGCTAGGGTTAGGGTTGAAAAGTTTGCCTATGGATCAAAGTCTGTAGTGGTATTATGAAAGCAAGACCAACACATACTATAAAGTCAGAATTGCAGTCTTTGACATTATTTAATTTGTGCATTTATATCTCAGACCTCAATATA